CACTAGCTCAAAAAGACATTTCAAGAACTTTGCTTTTAGAAAATCTTAAGAACTTTACAGATACCTCTTCAGTCTCAGAAAACATACCTCTTCTTACCTTCTTCCAAAGAACTCAAGGAAATAGAACTATGGCCTCTTACCTCGATTATATTTTTATCGATAAGGATCATTCACACTTAGCTACAAAGCTAAACACCTTATATGGTAATTTAGATCACAAGTTAGTAAAATGTGTCTTCAACTTTCAACAAACTTTAAGTGAACCAATAATTTAAAAATTCAATAAAAGAACCCTCTCAAATACTCTGCTCAAGAAGGATTTAAGAGAAGAACTACAAGAAGCAATAAACAGCAATGACTGAAACTTTACTAAAATCCAACTACAATCAATTATTAGAGCTTATAAAAAGCCCAAAGCAACTGAAAACAATATCATAAAACTTAACAGAAAAATCACAGATCTTAATAAGAGACTAGCAAACAATCTATCTTACAACAGTTTACAAGCACAAGCAAATGATTTAAATTATTAACTGCAGAAAGAACTTACTAACATAGCAGAAAAATGGCAGATATGCTCAAAAGCAAAATGAATTGAGCAAGGAGAAAAATTAACTAAATATTTCTTTGCCAAATACAAAATAAGAAAAACACATGCAGCATTGTCTGAATAAAAATTCCTAATGCATTGACACAAAATAAAGATGATACTTTGAAATACATTAAAGACCAATATGCTGAAATCTACAGCCAAGAAGAAGTAAATTTTAAAGATATTAATGAAATTACAAAGAACATCAAGCAGGTTACAAATCAACAAAACATTTCACTCACTAAAACCTTCTCAAAAGAAGAAATTACAGAAGTAATCAAGGGGCTTCTGAATAACAAATCTCTAGGAACTGATGGTCTCACCTATGAATTCTACAAACATTTTGAAAAGGCCATTACTCTTATTCTACAAAAGGTCTTTAATGACACATTATCTATTGGCAACATGTCTATTTCATAGATAAAAAGTCTAATCACCTTAATACCTAAGAAATCCTCAAAGTTAAATAATATTAACAACTGGAAACCAATCTCTCTAGTAAACAGCGATGCCAAAATCTTTATAAAGATTTTGGCTAATAGGCTTAATGAAATATGTAAAGACTTGGTTTCAGGACATCAGCATGGCTTCATTAAAAGTAGAGCCATAACAAATACAGCACTAAATATTCTAAAAGTTATGAGAAATCAGCAGGACAATACTAAGCAAAATTGGCTGCTTCTAGTAGATCAACAAAAGGCATTCGATCATATTAATCATAATTATCTCTCAAAAGTATTAAAAAAAATAAACTTTAACTTCAAATTCATAAAGCTAATCAAAACTCTATTTACCAAACAAGAAGCATACATCACAGTTGCAGGCAAGATTTCTGCATCTTTTAGAGTTGAAAGAGAAGTGTGACAAGGTGATCCTCTCTTGCCTCTTTTATACATTTTGGCCTTTGACCCACTGTTACAAAAACTAAACAGAGAACTTACAAGAATTCAATTAGGAGATGCAGCCTTTAAAGCTTCAGCTTATGTAAATGATCTCACACTGGGAATTGGTTCTGAAACAGATTGGGACATTATCAAAAGAAACTTCACTCTATATAAAAGAGCCTCAAATGCAAAAATTAATTAGGACAAATCAAAACTAATTCTGCTTACAAATGCAGCCTGAAGTCTTAAATTAGCAGGTGAAGAAAACCTTAAAACAATATCAGAACAAAAAGCTATTACCATTCTAGGCTATGAAGTCTATCTCAACAGTCTTCCAAAAAAGGACCTTTGGTCATCTACAATTAACAAACTCAAAAGCTCTTTTGAAAAGCTGCCAAACAGAAACTTCTCATTCAAAGGCAAAATTCTTCTAGCAAACTCTTTGATTTTGTCTCAAATTTGATATACAGCATACCTACTCCCTCTAAGCAAAAAAGCATACTGCAGAAATCAATGGCATAATATCTCTTTAGATTAAAAACAGATCCAAAATGCTTCCAAGATTTACAGTATTTCAACAAGCACACAATGCTGCAGGGTTGCAAGCTCCAGTAATAGGAGAAATGCTCAAGGCATAACTCCTCTCTATATGGCTAAAACTACTCTCAGAAAACTATTTCTGGGCTAGACTAGAAAGTGAAAAAATAAGTGACATATTAGAGTTTAAAAGAAATATATTAGCTTATACTGCCTTAAATACTGAGGTAATTAGAACTAAAGCTTGGCCCAAAGAATGAAAACCTTATCTACTTGCTTGGAAAAAAGCTCAGAGTAAAATAAACATTAGTCACAATTGGCCATAGAGCAAAGAAGATCTATACCTAGGAGACTTCAAAGCTAATAAATTCTCAGTCAAGAAAATTTTAAATTTTTGGAAAACTTTACCTCTACCTAATAATACTACCCAGTCTCAAACACTTTTAACAAACAACAATTGGCTTTCTGTTAAACTGATAAATAACAAAAAAATAGATACATTCTGAAGAACATTTCATAAAGTACTACTTTTAGGATATCATCTAAAAATATGGACTCTTCAATCAATGGAAGTTGTTCTTGGTATCCAGACGAGCAACAAACAATAGATCACTTTGCTATTCATTGCAAGGCTAGCAAAGAGGTCTGGAATAAAGCATATACTTTTTTACAAACTGGCATACAAGAAACATCCCCTTTCTCAATCAAAAAAATATTCAATACTAGCAACATTAAAGGCCAACACCATCCACAAGCAATTCTTTGGCTGCATATCAATATGATATATGAAATTTGGTGTTGTTATACATCAGCAAGATGGGGAAACAATATATATGCATCTACAATAATTCCTTCTATAGTAGCTAAGTGTCTAGCTAATGAAATTAGAGTTTTGTTCAAAAATATTAGTAATATTCCAAAGAAAATTAAGCTCTTCAAATGCTTAAAAAAACTGTAAATATTCTTGTATATTAGTAATAATTAATAAAAGACACCATCTGCGTTTTTAAGCAATTAGCTTAAAAAAAAAAAAAAAAAAAAAATACTAAAGTAAATAAATTAGTAAAAAAGAAGAATAGTATAAATAATATAGATAGAATTATAGGATGTTACTACTAAGTTCAAATGTATCACTTTGCTAGAAAAAAACATTTATCAAAAGTAGGGTTGGATCGGTTCAGTTCAGTTCATCCTCAGTCCTAATGAAACTGATCAAATAATACTTACAGTTCAGTTTAGTTCAGTTACACAGTCTCCAAATCAGACTTTGATCTCTGCAATAAAAAAAAAAAAGCAAACCTGTTTTTATTTATTATAATTATTTTAAGAATTTAATACATATGTACAAGAATATAGCAGGATTTAATAAATAATATATTTAATACTACTGTACTAATGCTAACGCTAATATCAAAAAAAAAAAAAACTATTGATTTATACATTTCTGTTAACAAACTTTATTTTGAAACCAACTTTTTAAACATAAAATTGCTTTTGCTGAATCACCTTCTAATCTACTTCTTTCTTCTGTAATAGTTTGACCGGCAATAGAAAATGCTTGTTCTGAAGCTACACTTGTAGCTTGAATAGATAAGTAATCTTTTGCAATTTTTTTTAAAGTTGGATATTCATTTTGTGCTTGCCACCAAAGTAATGGATCAATATGTTCCTCTAAAGGTGTTATCAAATACTTTTTTAATTCTTTTTTAATACCATATAATGGCTCATTAGCCAATGGTTCAGAAGAAGCAAAAAAATTATTATTATTAGGATTTTTTAGTTGATGAAAATAATTTCTTGCACTTGTAATATTATCATTAGCTAAAACCTTTGTTGTTAATTGTAGTGTTGTTGAAAAATATTCTGTCATATTATATATTTTATTTTTTACTCTATTTGTCTCTAATTCATCTTTAAAAGTAGATGATTTAACTCTTGGATCAAGTAATGAAGATATTTGGGATGTTTCATCTAAAATCGGCCAATAAACATCTAATTTTTGCTGAATTGAATCTGTCATCATATGCTGTGAATGTTCATTATTATTTATATATCGAGTAAGATGTTCTTGAAGTGCAAAAAAAACAAACCGAACATCATCATGAGTTGGATATTTAGATGCTGAAAGAAAATGTGTAGCACGTTCAAATGGTTCTAAAAGAACCAATGTATCATTAATAATTATTCGATCATTATCATTAGAATAGTATTTACAAACTAATTTGTTATCAGCTGCAAGTAAGTTTAAAGCTGGTTCCATCTTTTTCTATTTTTCTAGCATGTAAAATGTTGAATTCCATCTTGTTCTAATATCTATTTCAGGTGTTAAGTATTTTATTTTTTTAATTTCACATAATGCTTTTAAAGCATCATTAATAGGCTGTGAATTTTTAATACAATTTATCAAAGATCTAATTTTTTCAATAGAATTATCAATTAGTTCAATGCCTTGAACTACAGCCAAGTTAAGAACATGTGTGATGCATCGATAATGTGCAAAAGAAAAATTTTCAAACTCCTTTTCAAGCTTTTCAGTTATTGCTTTGCCACATGTTATCATTGATGAAGCATTATTGGTTGTTAATGCTAAAGTTTTTTCTGCAAGATTAAACTCATGAAAAACTCTTAAAATATTATTTGCAATATTGCATTCAGTATGTCGTACATCCATGGGAATTATATCAAGAAGGAAATTTTTTAATTTCCAAGAAGTATCAATGTAGTGAATAGTAAGACTAAGGAATGCTATTTTATTTGCTGCTGTCCATATATCTGATGTAAATGATACTTTTCCTAAAATATTATTTAATACTAATTTGATATTTACTTTTTTTTTCTCATATAATTCTACAATATTATCTTTCAAGGTATGTCTATTATGAAATCGATATCTTGGATCAAAATTTGATATCATTTCTTGCCACTCCTTATTCTCTACAACACTAAATGCTTGCAAATCACATACAACCCATTTTATAACAGATGCATCTCTTTTATGCTGTTCAATTTTTGTATGAAGATTAATTAAATAATTATTTTTGCACCTTTTAATTTAGGTACAATTATATTATGTGAAGCCAGGTGTCGACGTAAGGTTGTAGTTGCTGATGAAGGTTCAAAAACATCTCCACATTGTTTGCAAACAGGTTGGCCAGAATACTTTGGTATTTCAATATCAAAATATGGCCATACAGGCGATTTAAAATTTTTTGGCAATGAGGGTTTATTAGAAAGTGTTTTTGTATCAGACGTTGAACCTTCAATATTAACATTATTGTTATTTTGTAGGTCATCTAAATCAGTATAGTCATAATCTTCCTCACTTTGTGGGTCATCAGATGATAATAAACCCTGAACATTCATTGTGATAATTTTATTGTTGAGAATTGAAAAGAAGAATGTTTATTCAATATAAAAGGCATAGAATTAATTTCCAAAGCGATTAATATATTTAATAAAAAGAAATCTTTCAATTTATAAGATTATTTTATTGTGCGATAATATTTATTTTTTAATTATTACATAAATTATTATTTTCATCAACTATTACATAAATTAATATCTTCGCTAATTATTAAATAAATAATTTTCTTCCCTAATTATTACATAAATTATTATCTTCGCTAATTATTACATAAATAATATCTTCACTAGTGATGTCTTCACTAATTATTAAATAAATTAATATCTTAAACTATTTATTATATAAATTAATGATGTTTTCGCTAATTATTACATAAATTAATATCTTCGCTAATTATTACATAAATTAATATCTTCGCTAATTATTAAATAAATAAATTTATTCTCTAATTATTACATAAATTATTATCTTCGCTAATTATTACATAAATAATATCTTCACTAGTGATGTCTTTGCTAAATTAATATCTTAGCTATTTTATTATATATCTTCGCTAATTATTACATAAATTAATTCTTCACTAATTATTAATAAATTAATACATTCGCTCATTATTAAATAAAGTAATATATACAATAATGATTAAATAAATTATCTTTGCTAATTAGTTTGTCATGCTTTCGTTGGTTATTCGCTAATTATTAAATCATTCTTGTGTTGGTTTGTATTTTTCAATTCCCGCTATTAATTAATTGGTCTGGACCAGTCTGAACTAGTCCAAGATCAGGGACTGAAAACCCTTCAGTCCCGGTCCAAAGACCAGTCCGGACCGGTCTTTTTTGGGACCGATCCAACCCTAATCAAAAGGCTAACAAGACATTTTATTAAAGACATTTTAGATTTTAAAATTAGTTCAAAATGAAGATTTAGATTAATTGTTTAAAAATTAGAGCCAAATGAGAATAAAGAAGAGCATAATTAGTCAATATTGTAAAAAAAAGTAAAAAGTCAAAGTGAAGTCAAATGTATGAGTATAAAAAAAATAAAAAAATTATAACACTAATCAAATGTATTAATAAAAAACTATTAGTATTAAAGACTTTAGCAAAAAAATATTCAAATATATACAAAAAACCATATTGCATTCTATGTAATAAAGACAAAAAAGAAAACTAAAAATATTTAGTTTTATACAAAGGTCATAAAAAAGAATAAGTCATTATAGAAAACTTAGCTATCAATATGGTCTAAATAGTGTTTTTAAAAGAAATCTGTAAGAAGACAAGCAAATTAGAACTAATAAAATCTTATAAAGAAATTTAATAAAAAACAGAATAAAATATAAATCTAAGAGTATTAAGAGACTAATACAAAAAAAGACCAAAACTATATTACAAAGCCTTATTTAAACTTTTAAAAAAGCTAAAGAATTCTTAACCATATGAACAAGTGCAACATAAAATGGCTTTTTTGAAAATATATAAAAAAATATTATAAAGCAGTAATCAATTAGAAAAAGACAAATAAAATTGGTTTTACAGATAAAAAACAAAAAAAAGACACATTAAGAAATAGCATAATTAGCAAACTAATACATGAGATATATAAAAAAAATAGAGCAAAAAATTAAAGCTAAATTATAAAAAAAAAAAATACTAAAAAAATACTAAGTTTATAGTTAGGTTTAGTTATTAGTTTTATAAAAGAAAAAATTAGACTATTCTTTTATAGTCCTAACAGCTAGCTTGATATAGTTCTCTGGTCAGATTAATTTCTGACCAATATAACAAACTGCTTCTAAACACTTATAAAAGCAGTCAAGAGATATTGAGCCAAAATTTAAGCCAATTTTGTACAAAACATATATATAAGAATCTTAATAAAAGTGATTAGCAAGGCTGCCAAAAATTAAAAATTTATATATTTAAATATTGAATATAATAAAAAAGATCTTGAATATCAAAAATATATATCTTTGCTTAAAAAGTTATTTTAATTATTTATCTATTTTATAAAACATTAACAAAGATTTGACTTTGTAAAGTTTATCTGTACCTTAGTATCTACTTTATAGCATATTTTTAGTACTTTGTATACTTTTATTTTGTCTTTAAACTTCTAATTTAGATAGTTCAAAAAAACTATAACTGTTTTTATTATATTAAATTCAGTTTAATATCTTTTTTTCTAGATTGAATCTAACAGTCTGATTAGTAGTACTTTTTATTTAGAGGTTTTTACTTATTTAAATCCTTTATATTAATATCTGTTTTCTAAATTTAGTCTTTATAATAGTATTGTCAAAGATTTGTATTATCTTTTTATTTAGATATTTTTAAGTAAACTTTAGTTTGTCATAGTTTTATAGTTACAAAAACTTATTTTGAGTTTGTATTATTCAGTATCAATTTGTATTTCTTAGTATAATTAAGATTATACAAATGCTTTATAATCTGCTAGTTATACTAGCATAATTATAGTTACAAATATCTTATCTTAACTAATTAACAGAATGCTATTGGTATAATACAATGTATTGTATAGATAATTGTCTAAATTTTTGTTATTAGTAAGTTTTAAACTTATAACCTATTACTTGAAGGTTAACAACTTATCTATTTTACTAAGTTGTTAAAACATGTATTATTAATATATTATTTATTATATTAGTCTAATTTTTTAATAAATTATTTTAAATTTAATTAAGATAAATACTAACTATTTAAATCTTTTTACTTTTCTACAATTAAATAGTCTTTATCAAACCTTACTTTATTATTAATATCAACTATTTTTATTTTTTTAATTTTATTTTAACTGCAATTTTTGAAATAAGTAAAACAATTAACAAACTTAATTAAATATCTTCTAATAATTATTATACAACTTATTTAATTTCTATACTAATATCTTAGTAATTAGTATTTTTTAAATTATAATGCAAACAAATTTGCCTATATCTTTTGTTTTTTAATTTTTTTTTTGCTTTTATTAAAGCAAATGTCTATTAATAACTACTGCTTTTATTGTGTTTTTTAAATATATATTTATATATATAATTTGTATAAAATAAGTATATAACTAGTCATATATACAACTTTTAGTTATCTATTTAAGTAGTTTACTTACATGTTCTATACTAGCTGTTATATCTGTAATCTGCTAATTATTATTTATTTAAATACTTTAATCTTTATATTATACTAGTCAAAAAGCTTTATAACTTTGTATATCTAAGTGTTTTCTAAATTAACATTTATTCTTTTTTGCTATATAATTATTAAATTATTACTCATTTTAGAACATATTATTAAACTATAAAGCTCAAAATGTCTCTTTATTAACTAATATACTTATTATATAAACTATTAACAATATTATGTTCTTATATTTATTTAGACTCTAGTATTAACTTTATATCATATCTCTAATATTTTAATATATATTTGCTTTAACATTAGACTTTTAATTTAGATAACTTAGTAAAACTATAACTTGTTCTTAGTAGATTGAGTCTGGCTTAATATTTTTTTCTTCTGGTCTAAATTCTGATAGCCTAGTTAGTAGTATCCTTTATCTATATTATTTTTTTATTTATTTTTTTTTAAGATAACTTCTTTGGTCTTTTAACTTTTATTAATAAGTTTTTTGATAATATAATTCTATAAACTACTACAAAAAGAATGTACAATTGACTATACATATAACTTTTTATATTACCTATTTAAGAAGTTTATCTAAAAGTTTCTTATCAATTGCTATATCTAATATCTCTGCTTAGATGTTTCATTTTAAACCCTTTGAACTTGCATTTATGCTAATATTATTGGATTATGGCTTAAAGTCTTTTGTACCTATTTTTATAGCTAACTTAGTATTATTATAACATAATCAACATTTGCAATTATAGTTATATTATTTAACTATTATGTCTTTGTAGAGTTTACTTAAACTTCAGTATTTACTTTACAGCATATTCTTAATACTTTAGTATACTTTTGCTTGTTTTCAAACTTTCAATCCAAATAGCCTATATAGAATTATAATCAGTTTATTAATATATTAGATTATCCTAATATACTTTTTTTTTAGTTTATTTTAGCAACCTGGTTGATAATATCTTTAAAACTTTCAACCTAAAGGTTTTTACTTATTTAAGTACTTTGATATTGGTATTTATTTTTTCAGTTTAGCCTTTACAATAGTATTATTGAAGATCTATATTACCTCTTTATTTAGATCTTTCCAAATAGACTTTTTGTTTCTAATTTTAACAGATTTGCATAATTACAAGAACTTTTCTAAAGTTGTACCACCTGATGTCAGTTTATATTTCTTTGTGTAACCAATTATACAGATGCCTCATGGCCTGCCAGTTATGCTAATATAACTGTCACTACAGATATTTTAACTCAATTATTAGAAACAGTTACTGTAATACAAATATTATATAGGTAATTATTTAAACTTTTACTAATAATAAAATTTAAACTGAACTCTTTCTAACAATTATTTGAACCAAGCTGAACTACATATAGTTAATATATTAAACTTTATAAAAACTTTTCTAAAATACTGAACATGCATAATAGGCATTGAAATAGAGTTAAAAAAGAAGCTATTATTTTATAATAACAGTTTAAAAACATTATGAAACTATAAAAAAGTAGTTGGTAAAAGCCAGAAGTTTTTTTATAAAGTAAACAATAAAGTTAGATATATTACTTCTATACAACTATAAAACTTACAAAAAATACCCAAAAGAGTCAAGTACTCACAGAAGCCAAAAGTTTGGTCTATCTAATGTCTTTAATTTTTTAAAGAAAATTTTGTAAAAGTAGACAATTTAGTTTACTTTTTCAAAAGATCAATATATAAAATCACCCAAATAGTTACTAGTATTTACTTTTTAAATGGAATTATAAAAACAATACAGCAACACAAATATGACTTATATATGTGCCTTAAACTACTGAACTTTTATAAAATACTGTCTTTA